TGAATACTTTTATCAATATGAAATCATCCTCTATCTTCAGTAGATGTTTTGCCATAATTTTTTTTCTGATATTAACCTGGCTGTACTAAATTCCTTTGGTAGGTAATCTACAAAGAGTATATTTTCAAAACCTTTTATCTTCAGATGTTCTGTACCCATAAGTTTTAGATGTATCCCCTTAAAACAACATATAAAAAAACTCACCTGAATATTTTGCCTTGTAACTGAATCCTTTTGTCCATTTATAGTTAATACAATGACTGACATACTTGAGTTTTTTTTTTTTAATTTTTTTTTTCAACGTTTATTTATTTTTGGGACAGAGAGAGACAGAGCATGAACGGGCGAGGGGCAGAGAGAGAGGGAGACACAGAATCGGAAACAGGCTCCAGGCTCTGAGCCATTAGCCCAGAGCCCGACGCGGGGCTCGAACTCACGGACCGCGAGATCGTGACCTGGCTGAAGTCGGACTCTTAACCGACTGCGCCACCCAGGCGCCCCCATACTTGAGTTTTAAATATATTTTAAAATTTTTTTAGAGAGAGTGTGAGCAGGGAAGAGAGGCAGAGGGAGAGGGAGAGCAAGAATCTTAAGCAGGTTCCACATTCAGCATGGAGCCCAACAAGAGGATTGATCCCACCACCCTGGGATCATGAGTGAGCCAAAATCAAGACCTGAAATCAAGAGCCAGAGACTCAACCAACTGAGCCGCATAGGTGTCCCTGGATTTTAAAATATTCTTTTTCATTTCATGTACATTCTTTATTAATTTTTTTCTCTCCTTTCTTTCTTACTTTTTGTTCATTGACAGAATATTTTTATTATTTCATTTTTCTCCTAGGAATTTTCAGCTTACACAGTTTGTTTTATTCTGTTCATGGTTAACCTACAACTGTGTCCTCTAATCCAGTAATCACTACTTCAAGTGTGCCTGTTTATATTTTAATGAATTAAAATTAAATAAAACAAAAAACTCAGTTCCTTAGTTACACAAGCTACATTCCTAGTACTCTAAAACTCTATGCATCTAGTGCCTACTATGTTGGACCGCATAATGGAACACTTTCATTATCTCAGAAAGTTCTTTGGGATGGAACTACCTTACAGACTGTAGCATATGTACTTATCAAGGGCTAAAGTAAATTGCTACCCTTATTTACGTCCTAGATAGTCCAAGGACTTTAGAACACCATATCTCAACACCCCAATTTGTTTATTATCGTTGCAGCATGTGTTAGTTCATTACAAAATTCTCACTAGGCAGTATTATTATAGTTCTATGCAGTCAGTATTCTTTACATATGCCCATTTTTTCACTGTATCTAGTCTTCATTCTTTCTTATGCTGGTGGCCAACTCTATGTTTTTGTTTGCAAATATTCTTATTTTACCCTCATTCTTAAAAGATTGTTCTCCTAGATAACAGTGTTCTAGGTTTTCAGGTTATTAATTGCGAAACATATTTTGCTAACTTTCTATCATCCTGCTGGCATAGTTGCTCACAATTTGCTGTTTTAAAATATTGAATGTTGAGATGCATAAAACGTAAAAGTCGCAAGAAACATGTGAATCTGTGTGCATGCACCCCTAGTGTTTGGGTACTGCTAGAGCTTTAGGCTGCATCAACAACATGGCCCTCAAGGCCTCAACACAAGAGGAGATTTGACGGAAGAGGAGTAGGGCTGAGCCAGCAATCTTTTCTGCTCATAGTTAATATATCTTACTTTTGCAAATTTTACAAAAACATGTGATCACTTTATCAAAGGACGAAACCACCATTCAATATTTGAAAGAAGGGGCACGTGTGCACGCACGCACACACATGCACACACACACACACACACAGCTAAATGCCTTATTTACTATAGTCAGGCACAGCCTCTCTGAGTGGAGCGAACTGCTGATTTACATAGGGTTTGGGTAAGGGTAGAGTTCTAGTATTGACGATTCTCAGGGGACAGATGAATTGATGGCATCTGTAGAAGCCGTGACTGGGTGAGACTCTTGTTGACTGGTTAACATTCAGAGGCTGTTCATTGGAGTGAGCCTCTAACTGATTTTCAGGAGTAACTGGCTGACTTTCAAAAGGGTATTCACTGAGGGGCACCCGAGGGCTCAATTGGTTAAGCGACCGACTCTTGATGGACTCAGGTCATGATCTCAGGGTCCTGAGATCGAGCCCTGTGTGCTCTGCACTGGGCATGGAACCTGCTTAAGATTCTCTCTCTCTCTCTCTCTCTCTCTCTCTCTCTGTCTCTCCCTCTGCCCCTCCCCCTGCTCTCTCTCTTTCTCTGTCTCTAAAAAACTAAAGAATAATAAAAGGATGTTCAATGAGACAAGTTGTCCTTGATGTACTAAACAGAGGTTGAAAACCAGTTTGATGGCTAAGGCTACAGAACAACCTGTGGGGTTTTTTTGTTTTTGTTTTTTAGTGTTTGTTTTTAGGAATGTAGGAACCTTACTTTATTTTCAACCTGAAACATTTCTACATTTCTAAGGCCTTTCCTGGGCCTTAGAAAAGGTTGATATCAATGAGAGGCCTTAAAGCTTAAGTTTCACTAACTTCATAGTAAATCTACCTCTGAGGCCAGAATCATAACTATTTCACCTTTGCCCCAAGGGTGGGAATGTAAACTGGTGCAAGCTACTCTGGAAAACAGTACAAAGTTTCTCAAAAAGTCAAAACCAGAACTACCCTATGAGCCAGTAATTGCCCTGCTAGATATTTATCCAAAGAATATAAAGACTAATTCAAAGGGATACTTGCACCTCATGTTTATAGCAGCATTATCTCCAATAGCCAAACTGTGGAAGCAGCCCAAGTGTCTGTGGACTGATGAATGGATAAAGAAGAAAGGGTACACACACACACACACACACACACACACACACACACACACACTGGATACTATTCAGCCATAAAAAAAAAGAGTGAAGTCTTGCCATTTGCAATGGCACGGATGGAGCTGGAGAGTATAACACTAGGTGAAATAAGTCTGTCAGAGAAGAGGAGGAGCTGAGATGGAGAAGGACCCTAGGCTTGCCTAGTCCCTTGAACACAACTTAAGAGACACCCCACCAAAGACCATATACAAATGGCAAATAGGCGTATGAAAAGATGCTCCCCATATGTCATCAAGGAAATGCAAATTAAAACAGTGAGAGGGGCACCTGAGTGGCTCAGTTGGTTAAGCATCTGACTTCGGCTCAGGTCATGATCTCACGGTTCATGAGTTCGAGCCCTGCATCCGGCTCTGTGCTGACGGCTCAGAGCCTGGAGCCTGAATCCAGAACACTGACAACACTAAATGCTGACAAGGATGTGGGGCAACAGGATCTCGTATTCTTTGCTGGTGGGAATGCCATGCCAATTTGGAAGATTATTTGGAGATTTCTTACAAAACTAAACATACAATACAGCAATCATGTTCCATGGGTATTGACCTGAAGTATTGAAAACTTCTATCTGCACAAAAATGTGCAACGAATGTTTATGGCGATATTATTCATAATTGCTGACACTCGGAATGTCCTTCGGCAGATGAATGGCTAACCTGGTACTTCCAGGTATTGGGATATTATTCAGTACTAAAAAGAAATGATCTGTCAAGCCATAAAAAGACAAGGAGGAACCGTAATTGCATATTTCTTAGTGAAATTTAGTGAATTTCATATTTCTTAGTGAATTTAGGAAGGCCACATACTGTACGATTTCAACTGCATGCTATTCCAGAAAAGGTAAAATTATGGAGACAGTAAAAAGATCAGTGGTTGCCAGGGATGGAGAAGTAGAGATATATAGGCAGAGCACAGAGGATTTTTAGGATGCTGAAAATACTCTGTGTGATATAATGATGGAATATGTCCTTATACATTTGTCCAAACCCATAGAGTATACAACACAAGCATGAACCCCAAAGTAAACTATGGACTTTGGGTGATTATGATGTGTCAATGTAGATTCATCCTTAGCAAAAAACATACCAGTATGGTTAGTGATGTTGATGATGGGAGAGACTATGTATGTGTGTGGACAGGATTTATGAGAAAGCTCTGTACCTTCCTCTCAGTGTTATTGCAAACCTCAAACTGCTCTAAAATGTAAAATCTTAAAATTAAAAGAAAGAGAGTTCTGGAAATGGATGGTGGTGATGATTGCAAAATAGTGTGAATGTACTTAATACCACTGAACTGTACACTTAAAAATGGGGAAGGGGCACCTGGGTGGTTCAGTTGGTTGAGCATCTGACTCTTGATTTCAGCTCAGGTCATGATCCCAGGGTTGTGGGATCGAGCCCCTCATTTGGCTGCACAGTGAGCATGGAGCCTGCTTAAGATTCTCTCTCCCTCTAAAAAAAAAAGAAAAGAAAAGAAAAAAGATTCTCCCTCCCTCTCCTTCTGCCCCTCTCCCCCACGTTCGATCTCTCCCTTTCTAACATTAAAAAAATGGGTAAGGTGGTATATTTTATATGTATTTTACCACATTAAAAAAAATTCTAGAGAGCACCTGTGTAGCTCAGTCAGTTAAGAGTCCGACTTCTGCTCAGGTCATGATCTCACAGTTCGCGAGTCTGAACGTCAGGCTCTGTGCTGACAGCTCGGAGCCTGAAGCCTGCTTCATGATATCTTTCTCTCTCTCTCTCTCTCTCTTTCTCTCTCTCTCTCAAAATTAAATAAGGAGGGTTGGCTCAAATAACCTAGTTACCTAGTTGACTATTACTACAAATGGAAGCTGGAAACTCACATTTCTATTGAATAACTACTCTGCCAAGGGTGATGCCACGTGCTTAACCTTATTACTTCATATAATTAGTAATCGTTTAAGTAAGAGTTACTTGTTCCTTTGGCAAGCAGCCAGTGCACAGTTACATACTTAGGGTGTAGGCAGGCCTTGTGCTAGGTGCCAGACATCAGCACCAATCAGGTGAACTGATTCAACAGTAAACATCAGCAGCTCAGTTCATGCCTGAGAAAGGCTAACACTCAATGTTCTAGCGCAGAATGCAGATGCCATTACAGAACCACGTGGTAAGAACAGAAGAGGAGGACTTCCCCCTGGCTCCTACGTTCTAGGCTTCCTGCTCAACATTTACATTCCTTATCTCATTTCATTCACCCAACAACTCTGAGTTAGGAATTACGGTCTCCATTTTACAAAAGATGACCTTAAATCTCAGATTGAATTTGCCTGTGATCGCACAACTGCCGAGAGTCGAGTCGTAGAGCTGAAACGCAAAGACCACACCTGCTTCTCCAAACCCCAAGTCCTCTCCACACGTGGGTTCCCAGGGCAGTTCTGGGAACCAAGCTGTTGCAAGGCAGCGTTTCACCATGAATACAGAAACAAAAGCAGTGAAGACAATACGGTGAGTTTTCTGTTTAAAAAAAAACAAACACTATATTCCACCATAAATTCTTTCTTCTTGAAAGCAGCAGGATTAGTTTCTGTGGCTTGCAGCTAAGAAACCCTGTGAGAATAGTTGGGTGTTTGTTTTAATATTCATTCTTGACGATCTAAAAGGTGTCAGTATTATTAAGCAGTTCCCACCATTTTGGAAAAAAATATTGTTTTATGAAATTAAAAAATATTTGGGAACCACTGCTGTGTATTATAATACTCTAGGTTGTGCACTCAAAGCTCTACCTAATGAACAATTAAACTGACCTAAATAGAATTGATTTTCTCTTAGACTGGTGCGGTGACTAAACATAACTCTGGATAACCATGTAGTCTGTTTTATTTAGTTGTTAATGTGGCCGGACAGGCAACAAGTCTGTCTTCTTAGCAAACAAACCAGATTGACTATGTGTCTTTCTAATTGCTTTCTCAGCTGCTGTGAAATGTTTGATCTGGTTAACAATACAGATCAGCTCCTCTTTTTAAAAGATTAAAACGGCCTGTAATTAATTAACTAATTACTGTATTGATTCATTATATTTACTTACTGAGCACAGCTATAGGTTTTTACCAAGCAAGATGCCCGGCATGCACAAGAGACACAAAGCTTATGATCTCAATTACAAGCCATTCTTTCCATCTCCCCTGAAACCACCAGTAGTGGGCCGACCACAGTGACTTCTGGTCTGGGCTTTTGTAATTGCTCCCTAGCTGGTTTCTTTTCTTCTACCCTTGCTCTTCTGCAATCCATTTTCCATTGAAGAACTAGGGCATTCTTTTAAAACATTAATTGGGTCATAGTACTGCTGTGCTATAAATCCTTCCAAAATCTTCCAATATCCTTACCTTTAAACCCAAAGTTGTTAATCCAACCCGGAAGGCCCCATGCAATCTGCCTATATTTCTAACCGTGTCTCACCTGCCCCCTGCCACATGTCCCAAACATACCGTCCTCTCAGTTGCTGAAAGGCTTTGATCTCTTTCCTGACTCCAGGCCTTTAAACATATGATCCCTTCTGCCTGCAATGTTTTTCTTCCCACTGTTCACCTGGCTCACCCCTACTTTACTTCCTGTTTTAGTTTTTACTTGTTTAGAAGCACCTTCTCCGACCACCCCATTTAAGATAGACCCCTGACTTACTCTTTCAACACATCTGATATTTTATAGCTGACATTTTCTCTCACGGCTCTTATTGCAATCTGTGATTCTATATTCACATGTTTGTTTCTGTTTACTGTTTGTCTCCTCCATCCTCGTCTGTAAGCTTTAGAAAGACAGGGACAACTGTCTTGTTTACCACCTGGCACCCAGCATACCTCCTTGTACGGGCTCCTTAGACATTGGTTGAATGGATGAAGGAAGAAATTAGCAAACAAAGCCAACGCTTATACAGTTCCATGTAAAAATAGCGTTCTGGACAGGAAATGCTAGAGATTGCAGAGAAGAGGGAACTCAGAGGAAAGCTACAGAAAGGCTCCTTGGGGAGGCAGCACTGGAGGGAGACCCCAAAGTTTGAGTAAGATATGAACAGGCTCTGGTGAGGGCGAGACCTCTGGGAGAAGCTTCATTGCTTAAAGAAAGGGGAGGTGGCGGGGGGGGGGGCGGAAATGGCCGCTTAGCAGGAGACAGAGGGATCTCACTCCTGGGAGATAACTGAGTAGTTGGATTTCAATGTTTGGTGAGGCCATGAATCGATTTTTTATGAATCCTATCTCTGGAATAAACACATTTATGGAGTGAATCTACTCAGGATATAAGCTGCCAGGTGTGTGGTGTAGGGACGGTGGCAGACATTGGGCGCTGGCTTGCTCGATTCCACGCCAACTCCTGAAAGGACGGTGCCTGCTACATGCTTGAGCCTGGGGAGCTGAGACTACACACCCAGACCCCATAGATTCCATCAGGCAGACGGCCCCAGGCCAGATTCAAGGAGGAAGCGAACTTCACGCACAAGAGTGCACGATTGGCAAGCATAGTTGCCAAAGCATGTGTGTTTTTGTCGTTGTTGTTTTGGGTTGGTTTTTTGTTTTTTGTTTTTTTGGTCTTCGTTTCTTTTGTTGTTGTTGTTTTGTTTGGGGTTTTTTTGTTTTGTTTTGTTTTTGTTGTTTGAGTCGGCCGTAGCAGAGCTCCCAGCGTCTGGTTACTTACTCACGTCCTGGTTATTGAAAGACAAGGCACGCTATATTCCTTGCGCTCATGCAGATCATGGCCAAGTTTCCAGGATGAATACTCCCGGAGAGCCCATGATTTGGGGGTCTCTCTTAACTATTACAAAGTTCAAATGTCACTTTAGAAGGCAAACACAGTGTGAATTCAACATTTTAAATGCTCTCTAAACTTGACTGCTGAAGTCTCATCGTCCCTTCAATGTCCCTAACAGTAAAGATCGAAAAACAGTTCTCCCACTGACTCGAGTTCACACTTAGGGCCCACATCCCTGCCACGGGAAACATTCACACCCTTTCCCCTTAGGACGGGGTGCTCAAGATTCACAGCACACTAGCATCTTTCTTCCAAATCCTTCCCACCAAACCCTCTCTTAATCTCCACCCTCTACCATTTTAAGTCCTCCGTAGGAGTGATTCACCTCATCAGTTCCCAGACATCACTGCCACCTACTTTGACATTTCTGCAGATTTATCTGTTTTACATCTCGCTGATCACTTCAGCGGACACATGCATTTCAACATCTTTTTGCACCAGCATTTATGCCTCCCCACCTCTAACTTCTGCCTTCCTCAGCAAACCTTCTTTTGAATGATATCCATCCCATTTTTAGCCCCTTGTGTGGATTCCAACCAGCCCTAAGCCAACTAGAAAAATATTCTCCTGGTCTATTAGTGGTTCAGCATGAATATATATACTGAATTAGTCCCCTGTTACATCACAGGGCAAGATGCTTTCATCTCTATTTCACCTGGGAAGGGTGTCATCCTGGTGGTTGCTGGCAGCCTTCTTGTGGTCATGAGAAAAACATCCTAAGAACAATACCCAGCCATTGAGGAAGCAAAGCTGAGACCTGGAGCCCTTAGAGTGCATGGCTTGGATTGCTCTACTTTTAAACTTCTTGCTGTAAGAGACAATAAGGGTCCTTATTATTTTAGCTGATTGGAGTCAGAGTTTCTGTTATTAGCAAGCAAAAGATAGTGATCATCTATAAATTCCCTACGTCAGGTTATAAGTCTTGAACCACTCACTGTGGAAATATTTGATAATGGAAAACATTTGATAGTTGAAAACATTTGGAGATGGAAAACAAATGGAAACATGGGGGTGATGGGGAACATTAACTGGCATAGTATAGTCATTTGTTTCTTCCTTAGAACAAGGGGTAGAAGTCATTTTCCGGGAACCAAAGGGCTCCTCTAAATTTGGGGAGAAGGGGAAAAGGTAAAGGAATTCCAAAGAGGCAAAACATCCCACTGAGGAGTGCCTGGGTGGCTCAGTGGGTTAAGCATCTGACTTTGGCTCAGGTCATGAATTCACAACTCGTGAGTTCAAGCCCCACATCAGGCTCTGTGCTGACAGCTCAGAGCCTGGAACCTGCTTCAGATTCTGTGTCTCCCTCTCTCTCTGCCCCTCCCCTGCTCGTGCTCTGTCTCTCTCTCTCTCAAAAATAAATAAATATTAAAAATTTTTTAATTTAAAAATAAGATACCCCACTGAGACTATAGGCAAAGCTTTTTTAAAAAAAATTTTTTTTAACATTTATTTATTTTTGAGACAGAGAGAGAGCATGAACAGGGGAGGGTCAGAGAAAGAGGGAGACACAGAATCTGAAACAGGCTCCAGGCTCTGAGCTGTCAGCACAGAGCCCCACGCGGGGCTTGAACCCATGGACCACGAGATCATGACCTGAGCCGAAGTCGGATGCTTAACCGACTGAGCCACCACCCAGGCACCCCTTATAGGCAAAGCTTTTTAAAGTAATTTTTGAAACCATTCTCTTTGTGACTGCATTTTTAAAAAATGTTTATTCATTTTTGAGAGACAGAGTGTGAGCAGGGGAGGGGCAGAGAGGGAGGGAGACACAGAATCTGAAGCAGGCTCCAGACTCCAAGCTGTCAGCACAGAGCCAATGCGGGGCTCGAACTCACGAACCGTGAGATCATGACCTGAGCTGAAATCGGACGCTTAACCAACTGGGCCACCCAGGTGCCCCATGACTGCAGTTTTAATGTTGCAGTTACCTGGGCACTTTTAGCAGCACCTGGGCAATTACTATTAATTCAAGATAATTGCTTCACATACATTGAAAAAGTCCAGTATGCTTATTTCCTTTTCAACGAAATTTTTTTAACTTATTACCTTATGAGACTAATGGGTATTTTGGAAAAAAATGCAATCTATTTTATAGAAAGATACCAAATCAACACATGAACTTACGAACTTCATTCTTAATTAAATAAGTGTCTTTAGGGGAAGTAGCTGTTTCCAGCCACTAAAGGCTCTTTAGTTAACCGTTTTGTTTTTATTCTATTCGAGCGTTTAATTCTATCAGTTTGGTAAATCCCCTATGCATGCTGTGTATTTCTGGGAAGCTCAGGATCTCTGTGTGAGTATTTTGATGTGTTCTGTGTGAAGAAGTATGATGATGCTATAATCAAGGCCACTTTGCTTCTAGCTACCTATAACATCAATGATAAAAATAGACAGGAATGAGATACTTAGGTTGGCATCGTCTGTATTGTGGTTGGAGAAATGATCAATATCCTCTGAATGTCTCTGGCATCTTCCCTTCCACGACTTTCGTTCAGACTTTCATTATCTTGCTGGATTACTGCAAAGCCCCTGAAGTGGTATCTTTTTAATCTCCTGTCTTTCCTTTCTTCAGCCCAGACCTCACGCTATTTCCAGATAAATCTTACAGGCACACAACTCCCATAGCATCGCTGTCTCACTCAAGAGCCTTCAGGGACCCCCCATTGTCAACCAGAATCAATAGCATTCGGGGCCCAGGTGTTCAA